TATGTTCCTTCTTTGCAAAGAAACTTGATAATAAGTGTATCCAAATTGGATTTTGATAGATATGATTGCCATTTTGGAAATGGCAAATGTGAATGTTGTGTCCTCGTTGACAAAAGAAAAGAAAGCGAACTTCTGATGTCTCATCGAAATTATGGCAGTGTTGTTTATGCCATATTTCGAGGGGGAGAATTGAGAGACTGGTTAAGAATGTAGTTCTTCCTCCATTGGAGTTCTCAGTTTTAGAACAATGCATACAATGCATAGAATGCATCGGTGCCCAAAACACCGTATGAGCTATGGATCCTCCGTGTGTGGGGGAGTCCTGCAAAGGATAAAGTATTTAACCCAAAACAGTAAGCTGCCATTTTATTGGCTATTCTAAAAGATCAAAGGGTCATCGTTTCTACTGTCCAAACAGTTATACAAAGTTTGTAGAAACGGGACACGTCGTCTTCTTGGAAGACGAAATGATTAGGGGGAGCTCGGTAATTCGAGAAATTGATCTTGAGGAGAGGCGGGTGTCTGTACCCGCTCCGTCGACTCAGGAACCTTTCTTCTCTCTACCTGCTAATGTTGTGCCAGCAATGCATGCCGTTGCGGTACCAACACCTGTTGTTATCTCTCCTGTGGCAACAATGAATGAAAGTGAGGAACCTGTTCTACAGGATTCAACAGAAATTATTGCCACATCAGAGGAGGAGATGAAACAGCCTCAAACAGATAATGTGCCAGAATAGGAGGCCCCTAGAAGGCCTGAAAGAGTCGCATATGGAGGATGATCCCATCTCATATGAAGAGGCCATGAGAAGCCATGAAAGATGAAATGAAATCAATGAAATTAAATGATGTCTGGGATTTAGAAGAAATTCCTAAAGGAGCCAAAACAGTAGGCTATAAATGGGTCTACAAAATCAAATATGACTCCAGAGGGAATATAGAAAAGTTTAAAGTGCGACTTGTGGCAACAGTTTTCACGCAAAGAAAAGAGATTACAATGAGACATTTTCTCCAGTCTCTTGTAAAGATTCCTTCATGATTATAATGGCACTAGTGGCACATTATGATTTGGAATTACATCAGATGGATGTAAAAACGGAATTTCTAAATGGTGATTTGAAGAAAAAAAAGTATACATGGCACAACCGAAAGGTTTCGTCATGAAATGAAACGAAAATATGGGATGCCGTATAAAGAGATCCATTTATGGGTTAAAGCAAAGCTTCGAGACAATGCTACTTGAAGTTTGATGGAACAATAAAGCAATTTGGGTTTTCAAGAGAATGTAGAGGACAACTGTATTGATTCAAAGTTAAGAATGGGAGACTCATTTTCCTAATTCTGTATGTAGATGACGTTCTACTGGCTAGTAGTGATGTCAATCTACTGCAGGAAATAAAGAAATTCTTGTCCTCAAACTTTGACATGAAAGACCTCGGTGAGGCTTCATATGTTTTGGGCATAGAGATTCACCGAAATAGAACAAAGTATGCATTGGGATTTTCTCAAAAGGCATATATATAGAAAAGGTGTTGAAGAAATTCAATATGTACAGATGCAGTGCTACACCTGCTCCTATAGTCAAAGGCGAAAAGTATGGGGCATCGCAATGTCCCAGAAATCAGTATGAGCTCAATAAAATGAAAACAAAGCCATATGCGTCAGCTGTAGGAAGCCTACAGTACGCGCAAGTGTGCACACGACCTGACTTGGCATTTGTTACCGGGTTATTTGGCAGATTTCAATGTAATCCAGGCCCAGTGCACTGGAAATTGGTAAAGAAAGTCTTGCGTGTTTGCAAGGAACAAAAGGCCTCATGATGTCTTACAGAAAAGCAGAATCGCTCCAGATAGTGGGGTATTCGGATTCTGACTTTGCAAAAGATAATACAAAGTTAACATCGGGATACATGTTTACCCTGGCAGCAGGAGCTATTTCATGGAAAAGCTCAAAACAGACTACCACTGCAGGGTCTACCATGTATGCCGAGTTTATAGCATGCCATGAGGCTACGGGGCAGGTGAACTGGCTAATGAAGTTCATACCCGGTTTTAAAGGTGGTTGATAGTATTGAGAAACCACTAAAGTTATACTGCGATAAAGAATCCACAGTAATGTACTCTCACAACAATTAGTCAAGTGGTGCTGCCAAACACATTGACATAAAGTACTATGTTGTGAAAGACAAAGTCCGGGATCAAACAATCAGTCTCGAGCACATAAGAACAGAAAGGATGCTCGCGGATCCGCTCATGAAAGGCCTACCTCCCAACATGTTCAAGGAACATGTAGCATGCATGGGTTTTAAGGGAAGCCTTATGAATCCTGGACTATAGGGCCCAAAAGTTAAAGTATCTGTTTCTGAATAGAGATGTGTATAGTGGCTGTCGAATCCATCGGTAATTAACCGTGACGATGAAACATGCTCTATATGTAAATCTGTGATGGAATAGAAAAAGCTAAAGGAAATAGTGAGATCAAGGGGGAGAATGTTAGATGGATCTCCCTCCCCTTGAGCCCAACGGCTCAAGGGGGCCTTGACCCGCGCCCTGATCGGGGGCGCCCAGCCCAATGGCTGGTGGGCCCCCGTCACACTGTGCCATATAAAGAGGGGTGGAGGACGGGACGGAAAGAAGGACACAAGGAACGAGGTTCGTCGCCGCCGCCGCCACTCCACCCCATAAACCCTAACCGATCGAGGGGGCGCAGCCAGTGACGGGAAGTCCACCGCCGCGCCACGCCTCGTCGTTGACACCGTCGCTGCTGCAACCGCATCACCGTCGCCGTCACGACCGCCATCGCCGCCGCCGCCCACGTCAAGCAGAGCGACGACAACGACGATGGCTGGGACTTCCTCTTCATCCAACGCGTCAACCGGTCACATCCCTAAACCCTTTCCCTTATTCTCTATTTTTGTTCAATCATCCATCGCAAATAGAACCACCCGACTAGATCTAAACCTAGGTGATCCAATAGACAACCTAACACCATCCAGCTATGCAGGTGAACTTATGCGAGGGTCTGCACCATATGCTCGGCAGATTAAAGGTTAAATTAATCATATGGGATGAAACACCGTGCTCATATGATGAGCAATGCTCAAATTCATTTGATCTCATGAATCATATCAGCAGGTTGTTTCTGATATGGAGACTGTCTAATTCCCAAGAGACCACGGCGGCGGCGAGGCAGAGCAAAAAGGGGAAAAAGCAACGGGGCGGCGAGAGCTCGATTTATGGCGGCGGGAGCATCTCCGGTGTTCGAGGGGTGCGTTCCCGGCGTCGGATTGGACGGGGACATGCTAGAACGAGGCAGCGACGAGAGGCGGCCTCCGGGACAGAGCAAGGCGTGCGATGGGCTACGTCGAGCGGCGGCGGGCGCGGCGCGGCGTGCGGCGGGCTATGGCGTGCGGCAGTGGGCGCGGCACAGCGTTCGGCAAGACGAAGAACACGGTGGGGGCTCACCGACGAGAGGGGAGCGGCGTTGGTGATGCGGAGGGAGTCGCGGCGAGGCGGCGCGGCACCGAGAGGGCGCGGCCGGGGAAGAAGAGAGGGAGAGGTGGCGCCCGGAGCTCCTCGTCACGCGCCCACGCACGCACCGGCCTCCCCGGTGCTTGGCGACGAATGGCGACGGCGCGAGCAGGGCAGGGGCAATAAGGCGGCGACGGTGGTTCGGCGGCAATGGCGCGGTGGGTGTGAAGCGAGTGAAAACGAGAGAAGAAGGGGTTTGGGGCGCGGCTTGGGTTTTATAGTGGAGGCAATGTCGGTTTGGGAGGCGGGGGCGAGCTGCTGCTTGGCTAGCGGCCGCGAGAGCGGCGTTTTCGTGCGCGGCGCGAAACATGGCGACGGCGTGGATGCGTTGGGCGGCGAAGGCGGTGGATCGGACGGCGAAAATCGAATACGGGTGAACCCCCGCAAAACCGAGGACTAGTATGTGCCCATGGAACCTTCTGCTAGCGTGTGGGGAGCTTTGCTCTCTGCATGTGCTATGCATAATAACGTCGATGTTGGAGAGATTGCAGCATTTAGGCTATTTGAGTTAGAAGAAGGCAGTGCTAGCAATTATGTTACCCTCTGTGGAATTTATGACGCAGTTGGTCAATCTGATGGTGTTGCAGGGTTGAGATCAAGGATGAGAGAACTCGGCATGGTGAAGACGCCTGGGTGCAGTCGGATCGATGTGAAGGGAAGAGCTCATGCTTTCTACCAGGGGAGCATCCCACGTTATTTGAGGGGATGAATGCTTTGGGTATTAGATCAGTTACTAGACGATATGGCAAATTCAGATTCTGAAGATGAGCTTGCTGACTTGTACTTTGAGTTAACTCTGCACTGAAGTTCTGATGGTGAAAGTCATGTATTGCTGCAATCAATTTTGTTCAAGGAAAAGCATGGATCTTCCTTGATGGCTGCCATGCCACTCATGAACAAATTTGAATGAAGACCAACAAATAATCCTAAGAAATTGGTCAATCTAGATGCCTTGGAAGCTGAAACTTTTCAGGACCAGTATCTGGAGCAACATCCTGCATCATGGTATGGTGCCAGGATGAGAGCAATAGGGTGGCTCTTCTGGTCCAAACGACTGGTATCTAGTCTGAGGTGACTGCAATGACAGTAATACATGTGTAATGTTGTCAGTCTGGTTTATCGGCATATGGCTCAAATATAGTGCTTCTGAAAATATGCGACAATATTGGATGCAGGAGAAATTGTGAATGATTGGCATATAAAAGATTATCTCTTGGATTAAATAAAAGAGCGAGAATGAATGGCTAGTATTTAAAAATGGGTGGAAAATTATTTCCCTTTCCCATTTGACAAACATTGCCTTATAGCAAAACTGAACGATTTGCTCAGCACCTCCGACCGAGAGCAGGACACCGCGCCGACAAGAGAGCGCGCGAGCCGCAGCCGCGCGAGAGGAGCGAAGCAGGCCAAGCTATTAGGCCCATTGGGCTTGTCTTTTTTGTGTAAATGGGGCTTTTGACTAGGAAACCCTAAACCCAAATTTCCCCTTTCTCCAGTTCTCCCATCCCCAATCTGTGCCCGTGCGCGAGGAGGGGCGCGGCAGGGCGTATAGCGGCGGGCGCGCGCGCGGGTCGGCGGCGCGGCAGCCGGCACTGGCAGCGCGGCGCAGCGCAGGGAGCAAGGCAGAGGCAGCCACCAACCAACAGGGACTGAAGTCAGGCAGAGGCAGGCAACAAGCTAAAGAGGAGGAGAGGAAGAGGAGAGATTAGGAATGTTGAGGTATTGTTGCGTTTCTCGTCTATTTAACCTTTGCAACTGGGATGATGGATTGTGAACTCATATGACTAGTGCTTGTTGCTATGCTTAATGTAGACGTGATGGATAATGCTGCGTCGTATAATATCGTGAATTGATATTGCTTTTTTTTTTCCCTTCTTATTCTGTTCTAATTCTCGCGCGCTAGTTCATGTGCCACACCTAATTTTTTTTCTGTCCTCCGCCACTGACCTTATATGCGCTAGTTCATATACGATTTTTTTTTTGTCCTCCGCCACTGACTTATATGTTCTTTAGTTTGCTAAAATCCTCTCATAACATACATTTTAGCTCCTTCAAGAAGTGGCTCCTGGTTTTCTTGCTCTCCTCTTGCGATATTGCTGGGTACTCCCTCTGTTTCATAATGTAAGACTTTCTAGCATTGCCCACATTCATATAGATGTCAATGAATCAAAACATATATGTGTGTCTAGATTCATTAACATATATATGAATGTGGGCAATGCTAGAAAGTCTTACATTATGAAACCGATGAAGTATTTTTCTTCTTCTTGATATATCAACGCACAAAAGCTTTTTCAGTGTTCGTTGAAAAAAAGAGCAAAATTTTCTCATGAGGAATTAAAACTGATTTTCTTACACTTATGATTCCTTAAATTGCAAAGTTGCAGTGAGTTATTTACAGCCCCTCAAATTTCCTTTTCGCCAACTATTCCTTCTAGGTATTGAACAGAACGTTTTGCTTCTTCTATCTATTTTTATAATTATTTTGAGGTACACATATTGCATAGTTTTAAGCTCGTATCATTAGCATATATTCAAGGTCTGATAGATTAATCTTATGGGTGCAGGTGGCAATAGCCGAATTCATTTCTCAATGATGAGCCCTATGTAAAGTTGTATACTTCTCCATATTGCACATGGTTCTGTGCCGGCAGTCCAAATATGTATTCCAATGGTGCAGACACCTGAGAATTCCCCCCCTGGGACTCTCTTCCTGCCCCTTCTCTGTACTGACAGCTTCAGCTTCAGTTCAATCAGACTGCTCTAGTGATGATGAAAAACTGAATTGTGCTCCGTCTCAACATGCCCGGAAAAGATCCCGCACTTTGTGCTCTGATAGTGTTGTACAGACTCTCCACTGCCTAAAGAGACGACCTGCCATTGCATTTGCCTACTTTAAAGATACACAGAGCATTGGGTTTAATCATGACTTTTCAACCTACTCAGAGATGATTCAGATTCTATCCCACTCACGCCAGGGGAAGATGTTAGTTTCATTGTTCTCTGAGCTTGTTTCAAGTAGTAATGCTAGTGGTCCTGAAATTTTGCCCCTTGTTGATCACCACAGAAGAACATGTGCTACTCCATGTTCACTCTCGTTCATGGTTGATTGCTTGATCAAGGCATGCATCACTTGCTATGATGTACAAGCAACCATATGCTTATTTAGTGGCATTTGCAGGCTTGGAGTTGTCCCATCTGTTTGGACTTGGAACCTGCTTCTCAAATTTATAGCTGAGACTGGTGAATATGAGATGGTTCTCGCAGCTTATAATGAAATGAAGTGCTTTCAGCTGACTCCCGATGTTTATACATTTGCCATAGTCACTAGGTCACTTTTTCAAGCAAAGAAAGTGGATGAGGCTTTGCAAGTTTGGGCCGAGATGACTGAAATGGGAGTGAAACCAGATGCACGTGGGTACTCGTCATTTCTAATTGGTCTGTGTGATTGCAGAAAATATGATTTAGCTTATGTTATTCTACAAGAGATTAATAGGGAGAAGGTTCCTGTTGAGGCCATGGCTTATAACATGGTAATGGATGGACTATGCAAAGAAATGAGATTGGATGAGGCGGAAAAGCTCTTGGAAAACAAGGCCAGACAAGGATCCAACCCTGATGTATATGGTTATAGCTATCTGATTCAGAGTTATTGCAAAATGGGCAACCTAATAAAGGCTGTGGATCATTATGAAGCCATGGTTTCTCATGGTATTGAGACAAATTGCCACATTGTGAGTTACCTTCTGCAATGCTTCAGGAAGTTAGGCATGACATCTGAAGTAATCGCGTATTTCCTGAAATTTAAAGATTCAGGGCTTCATCTTGACAAGGTGATTTATAACATTGCTATGGATACTTATTGCAAGAATGGGAACATGAACGAGGCAGTTAAGCTACTGAATGAAATGAAGTGTGGGGGTTTGACACCTGACAAAATTCACTACACATGCCTAATCAATGGTTACTGTTTGAAGGGAGAAATGCAAAATGCACAGCAGGTATTTGAGGAAATGCTGAAGGCCAATATTGAGCCAGATATAGTTACATATAACATATTGGCTAGTGGGTTTTGCAAGAGCGGTCTTGTTATGGAGGTGTTTGATCTTCTAGACCGTATGGCAGATCACGGTTTGGAGCCTAATTCACTCACCTACGGTATAGCAATTGTTGGATTTTGTAGAGGAGGCAACCTTAGTGAAGCAGAGGTTCTATTTAATGTAGTAGAAGAAAAAGGAATTGATCATATCGAAGTGATGTACAGTTCGATGGTTTGTGGCTATTTGCTTTCAGGCTGGACTGATCATGCTTACATGCTTTTTGTAAGGGTTGCTCGACAAGGAAATCTTGTGGATCATTTTTCATGTTCTAAGTTGATAAATGACCTCTGTAGAGTTGGAAATGTCCAGGGGGCTTCAAATGTTTGTAAGATTATGTTAGAACATAATGTTGTACCTGATGTGATTTCATATAGCAAACTCATATCAATCTATTGTCAGAATGGAGATATGGACAAAGCTCACTTATGGTTCCATGATATGGTTCAGCGAGGACTTTCTATTGATGTTATTGTATACACTATACTGATGAATGGTTACTGCAAGGCTGGTCGTCTGCAAGAAGCTTGTCAATTGTTTGTTCAAATGACAAACTTGGGCATAAAGCCTGATGTGATTGCATATACAGTTCTACTGGATGGTCACTTAAAGGAGACCCTTCAGCAAGGTTGGGAGGGGATTGCTAAAGAGAGAAGGAGCTTTCTTCTTAGAGCGAATCATAACAAGTTATTAAGTTCCATGAAAGACATGCAAATTGAACCTGATGTACCCTGTTACACGGTGTTGATTGATGGAAAGTGCAAAGCTGAATATCTAGTGGAAGCCCGGGAACTATTTGATGAGATGTTGCAGAAAGGACTTACTCCTGATGCTTATGCTTACACAGCTCTTATAAATGGATATTGTAGCCAAGGGGAAATATCAAAGGCTGAAGATCTTTTGCAAGAAATGATTGACAAGGGAATAGAACCAGATGAATTGACCTTTTCAGTATTAAATCAGAGTTCCTTGAGGTCTAGGAAGATTCAGTTCTGTGCATGATTCCCTCTGTGGTACCATGTTTAGTAAATTCTTTCTACTGAGAACACCTATGTCAACAGCAAGGTGATGCTTTTATCAATCATTAGTTAATTGGATTTTTCTCTTCTCTGCTTATAAAATTGGTCACAAGTATAATCTTATCAGCAGTATATACAATTCTCTGCAAGTGTTTCTACACTTGACAGGGAACTAAGTACCAACAATTGTGAAATATACTGGGCATAGCTTGTGAGTCTGATCAAGTAATTTATGATTTTCAGGAGGTCAACATTGATGATGAAGAACTTTCTGTAGAAATTCGCAAAGAAAATGAGGCTCCTGTTGTTGAGAGAAAAGTCAAGAACATTTCAGATACCAACATTAAGAGGTTGTGCATCCTACATCTCAGTCTGCTTTTCAAGCAGACCTCCTTGCAAATCTCTGAGTCTTCGTGCAATTGATGGCCTTGTTAAAGGATTGGAGGCCAATCAACGTCTAGTAGGTGACTTGACCCTAGCAACCCTTGAGGACAGTTGAACTCAGTTCAGGTACTAGTGTATTTTGTTACAGTATTTGTTCCTTAAGAGGTACTCCCTCCGTCCCAAAATATAACAACTTCTAGCTTCTAGAATTTATCCTAAAATATAACAACTTTTACACCAACATTCTCTTCTCAACCAATCACAATCCTCCACCGTTCAATTTTCCTACCTATCTCTACTTCTCATCCAATCACAACCCTCATGTATTTAATTCTATGTACTTTCTTAATAACCGTGTCCAACTCTAAAAATGCTTATATTCTGGGACGGAGGGAGTATTATTTTTTAGTCTCGGGGATAAGGTATACTCTGTCAATTCTGCACTATTCAGCCAATTTTCAATATTGAGAAGTTTCAAGCGTGCTAACAAAATAGAGGAGGACGCTCATTCAGGTTGCATAGATCGTACTTTTGCTTCATTAAATGTATCCACTCACATTATTTTATTAGTATGTTCTATATATTCCTGCCTAAACCTGCTTCATGGATTTCTTTTTCCTACTTGGCCTTGTTTTGTTGGATTAAAAGCAGAGCAGCGCGCTTGTCATGGTCTTCTTTTTTACTGGGGATTTGATCTCTTTTGTCAGCACAGGCTCTGATTTTACCTCCCTAGACATTCAAAATGGGAACTCTCTTCAGTTCCAGATACTGTTCCTCAAGAACACAGGTACTAATTGATGAAGTATCCTCTAAAAGATACGTTGAATATAGTGCTTTTTCATGTTCCCATTCCTAATTTCATTCATTCCTTGTATGTTGTGTTCTCTAGGTCCAAGTTCCACTTAGGTTGTGAGTCTCTGTGCAAGTAGAGATGTGATTTGTCAAATTTGGAACGGCACTAGTAATTGTCTTATCTCATCATGTTTTTCTGAGTGTCCAAATTTTTAACCTTTTCTTTTCCTTCAGAAGGTAACAGACTTTGCTTGTATCCAGGTTAATGTCAAACTTCGATTCCCTGTTGTATTGAATTAATTCATGGAACCTACAAATCTTCCACCTGAAGATTTTTTGCCTGCCTGGAATTCTGGAAAGCATTAGCTGCTCAGTCTCTGAAAGTTTAAGATGTGGTAAGGTTTCAGTTCTGTTGTGGATAACTAGTGAGCTGTGAAGGAATACATTTTTTTCATGAAATGTAGAATTGGATAATCTTCCCTCATGGTTTTGCTTGTTTTTTCTTGTTACTGATGATTTAGTGTGTCTTGTTAGATTGTTACTATTGCCTTCTAGCATAATGGATATAGCAAGTATGTTTAGCTGGATAGTAATGTTGTGCTCTATTAAAAACAAAGGAACAATGGAGCGGATTGCCCTTAAGTTTCTGGTTTCTCCGCGTGGTCGAGGCTCTGATTGGCGACTTTGGTGGGCAAAGCCCTTCTCTAATATCCTTATTGTTTAAGTTTCCAAAGTGTATACAACCTCTATGTACTAGGTGGCATCTAATAATTAGGGAATCTGACACAAACTAGGAATATCAAATAGAATACATAAATCAAGCTAGGACTAGAATTATGAACATATCTAACGCACCATGCCAATGTTTCCTGCACCTATGGTATTTGATCCCATAACATCCGTAACAGATAACCTGTATGCAGATGGAATGTTGCAAATCATGAGTCCTTTACTGACAGCAATTGTCTAGGAGAAAATTCTAGTTAGTGTTGCAGAAAATTAGGTGCCTCTTTGCCAGCAAATTCGACCTTTGATGCCATCATTGTTGGTGTAGCAGAAATAATGTCATCAATGTTCAATGCAGTCTCAGTTCAATGTAGGTCAAATCAAAACTTTACAAGACAGATGCCAACTTCAGTTCGAAATTTGAGTAAAGCTTGTTACAGTTCTTTTTATAAAGTTAATAGTTAATGGCTACGGGGAAAACAGAAGTTGACCGCTGTTATTTTTGCCATGCAGGAGTTCATCAAAGAGTCTTTAATTGATCGATTATCCTTAGGGATAATTGGTTCTAATTCGGTCTACATTGCAAGCCATAATTCCTTCAGAAGTACCTGTCACAATGGCAGCACAATGAAAAGTGGAAAACAAAAGCATCCTGCCGGCAAAACGACTTGTGGCTGAAGAACAATGATGAAGCAAGGGGTGACGCAGAAGTATTTATTTTACTTTTGGCCGGGTTATAACTTATAAGTCCCTTGATCGCTGCAGGTTATAAGCTCTGGGAATCTTCATTGCCCTAGGTCTAGTGTTGAATCTATGTAGTTTTTTATGTAGTTTTTTCAACCAAAATCAATCTTGAAGTTTGCTGTTTATGTGTAATTACGATTTGTACCAACAAGATTAGAATGTTTAGCTATATGCCTTGGATTGATTAACTAGGCTCAGTTTTTCTCTCATTCAAGTGTTCAATGAATGAAATGTATGGTTCTCTAGCTTTTCTTTTGTTTCAAAATCCTTAGTTTTTGGGGGCTTGTGTGTAGATGGCAGCTGTATCTTTCCTGTATATAAAGCTATGGTTGTAGAAAATTATAGGGCGTATTATAAATTATTATAGGATGTATTATATTTGATGGTTAAGATGTTCCTCCTTTTCAGTAATGCTAAGCTATTATTTGCATTCTTTTGTGTGGCCCATACAGCCCTACCAATTCCCTGGTAGTGCATATTTGAGGAATTTGAATATTACTCAAACTGAATATTTTGGTTTTACATGTGGCTGTTGAGATCTGTGTTAAACGTTGATTGAAATCATTCCCAGGCAAAAGAGTGTTAGGATAGCCTGCAGATCAAACAGTCCACCTTCGAATATACTACAGCCTGAGCAACCACTGTTCTTGCTGAATTTCAACCAAAAGCAAGTCAGTCGCTCTATGCAAATCATCTGAATCTAAACAAGTTGACACAAAAAAAAAGATTTTCCATGAAAAATCAACTTGTATGCAATTAGATGAAGCTAAACAACTATTCTCTCCGTTTCATAATGTAAGACTTTCTAACATTGCTCACATACATATAGATGTTAATGAATCTAAACAGACTTTAAACAGACTTTTCAGTATATAATGAATCTAAACATATATATATATGTCTAAGATTCATTAACATCTAAATGAATGTAGGCAAAAATCTTATATTGTAAAACGGAGGAAGTAGCAACATTTCTCAAGCTCCAACCAAACGATGAAATTTCCATGGAGCAGTTTACTTGCTGAATAGTTGAATCAATTAGACGATTGAAACAACCTCTTCCACACTTCAAAACCTGTCTTATCTCCACAGGGGTTAAAAACAAAAAAGAAAAAAAAAAGCGAACAAAGAATCAAGAAATAATAGATGTAGCAGGTACAGTAGGCAAGCACCAACACCTCCCCTCCAACCTCACACTATGGAAACTACTAATTTTTTACAGAATACAACTCACACTTCAAGATCAGCTTCAGGGCAACAGAGGCAAGGGAAGTTTGATATTCTCCCTACCACAGATTTTCGTCGGTTTGTTTGTTTACGCGTTCTCAGCTGCTGCATGCGATCGCTTTGGTCGCCACTCTGTGTGTGCCTTCACAATGTCAGCCTTCACAAGATGGTCGCACTGGATGGCAGAAGCCTGCTTGTCGGCGCCAATGCTGGTGCATTCCCCTGACACGGTGGTAAGTGATTGCAGCACGCTGTCTCGGCCACACTCCTTCCTGTAATCCAGGGTCATGCTTGCAAGCTCATGCTTCTCCAGTACTGAAATTGGAGCACTCTGGGGGAAAAAATTAGAAAGAACTCAGAAACATGTTTGAAAGCCTTCTGACTGACCAGATGTAAGACTAATGACAATATCAACAATACAGATGGTCAGATCAGAATCTCTAGAAAATAATTGCAAGTACTACATAAAATGGTTCCCTAACAACTACTCCCTCCGTTTCATAATGTAAGTCATTTTAGCATTTCTCACATTCATATTGATGCCAATGAATCTAGACACATATATCTATTTAGATTCATTAGCATAAATATAAATATGGGAAATGCTAAAATGACTTACATTGTGAAACAAAGGAAGTACCATATAAAAGGATAAAGCCAAATTATTTTTCTCTAAACAATGAATATAAGGGACAAGAATAACCACCTCAAGGATCCACCCAATATATTTAACATTGTTCACATGCTGATTGACATCGAGGTCACCCCATCTAGGCTGTTGCAGTAAACAAGAGTCCATCAAATATCATTTAAAATAAATGAGGGGTGAGATCAATTATTACTGTTTTTCTTAGATAAATGATAGCAGTTGAGGCATAATGATAATTCAGTATGTAACCATGTCTAGCTGACTTACAGTGAGCCCCTTTCTTATGAATTGCTCTGTAGCATCATCACCAACTTTATTTCCTGTCTAGGCTAACTTTTCACTCTGCTCCTCTGTTATAGCTGAACGGTCATTGAAATATGGGCCTATTTCAGCTCTAACTTCATCTGGCATTTTTGAAAGTCTTCTAGTTTTCTTGTGCATCATCACCCAAACACTGCAACAAATGGATTGGAAAAGGAGCACAATTAGTGATTATCAATGATGTGACCAAGCAGAAATACCAAGATTGGATGTCCTCACAAAAAAAATGATACAGATGATTCTTGCAATAGAATACAGTTGAAGCCCAAACCTTGTAGCTCTCAAGATTGTTCGGCCAGAGTTGTAGTCACGAACATGCCAGTCTCGACGCATGCCATTTTTGCCAGCAGCAGCGACCCATGTGTCAACTTGAACCATATCTCCCCTAAAACCATAGCAGGTTGGTACAATACATCTGTCATTCTTTTTGATCCACAGAAAGACATCGGCAATTGTATCTGAACTAAAAAAACAGTTTGAAATTGCACTTCCATTTTTCTAACTCAAAACCCCAAAAAAGAAGTTTTCAACCACTTGTTGACACAGTTGACAAGAGGATTTAAACATAACGTGTGAATAGTAGTACTAGCACCACTTATTTGATGAATGATGACCACCTAGAAATTTAAACTGACAGATGCTGTTCAACAAAAGTTCACTGTTCTAGATCGGTCCTTAGCTTCTCCCATGATATGGCACAGCATTAATTGCTTTTGTTCTTTTCTACACGATGGAATCATTTACTGCAGCCCAATAAAGGGAAACTTTCTGAATTGTGATCCCTTGAGGTGTGGTACCCTGTACAGACGTCTTTTAATTCAAGATCCAAGAAAGCACAGGACAGAACATTTAATGAGGCAGCTCTGGGCAATGAATATGAAGTAACCAGTCAATTATCTATTGGGACTAAACCTCTCCCTCTATCCACTAATCAGTTATGTTTTCGGGAGAGCATTGTCCTGCTAAGTGATGTTATACTTTTCAAGACAAAACAGGGCAACAGAGTTAAGTGCTGCCAAACTCAGGCCTTGGGGTATCGTAACTTTCATGCTGCTTGTAATAAAGCTAGACAATAACTTTAATATGAACTACCCGAGTGGTAAATTTTTGTTTATAAATGCAAATAAATCACTTGCTAATTTATTTTTAAAACGGAGCTTATCGCTGGAAAACGTAAGTACATGCCCGTTCTGGCATTCCCACTCAGCATAATTCAAGATCCAAGGAAGCACAGAGAAGACATCATTTAATGAGGCAGCTTTGGGCAATGAATAAGGCGTAACAAATGAAGTTGCTCTTGGATCTAAATTACTACTCCACTAATAATTGACGTCTAAAGGAGAGATTACTGTTCTTTTAACTGATGTTGTGTCTTTTGAGGACAACATAGAGCAAGGAGAGCTACAGACTTACAGTGCTGTACCAAAAAGGCCTTGGGGCATCATAACTTTTATGTTGCATGTACTAAAGCTAGATTATGTCTTTAATGAGGATTACCCAAGATGCAAATCCTGTTTCTAAATGCAAAGAAATAACTTGATAGTTTGTGTTATAATCAGGGCTCGACAATTGGAAACAAAGTGCATGCTCCTCCCACTTAAGTAGGAATATATTCATTTCTTCCTAATTGGAAAATTTAGTTTGCCACAAAATCTATCCTTGATCCAACAAAACTGGAGCTGATATTACTACACATTTCTTAGTCAACCAAGGAGGAATAACAGAACCTCCAAAACATGAGGCCTATCACGGGAAATCAAAGAAAAACATGGCCTTCTATAGCAGTATAAAAACTTCAACCCATATTCTTGCAAACCTGCAGCAGCGAAATTTACGAGCAAGTAAAAGATTCACTTGATTTTCATCAACCAACCAGTGTATGGAGAAATCAGACCAGAGATCCACACAACAATATGATAAACCATGTTAAAGTAAATATTGAGCTAAATACTACTGTTGCTTGTGTAAGAATCTTCTTTAAACAAATAAAAACAAATATGCAAAGGACACACAGCTGTAAAGTAGTACATAAAACGATATCTGTAAAAGAAGCAAAACAAATATGAAGTAATTTAAAATGTGAAAATTAAATGACAACTTAGAGTAAGGAATTGATAGAAAGAAACCAAAGATACATATATCAAGAGGAGCAAAGGTTTGCAAAAAAGTACCATGCGGGGTATTGCTCAACAAGAAGCTGGATTTTGCTGACAACCCATATCAAGTTCCGTTTGCTCATCTCCGGTGTAGCCCCAAAACCATCTCCAAGAAGACCAGCAGTCCTTACATGGTTAAGAGCCGTTTCCTGCAAAATTTTAAATAATTGCCAGCTTGAAAGAGACATACGAATCTATAACAAAATGCTGAAATGAGAAATGAAACTAAAAACAGAATGTGCAACCACTTACCTGTAAATGATTCATCAATGTCTCTATAGAAGCTGTACGATCAGCGCCAATCTCGTAGGACCGAATCATGAAGTTCTGCCTAAACACCATACCGTCCTGGATGATCCTACCAAAGCCAAATGTGTCAACAAGCATGTCAGGTTTCTTCGGCTTCCAATCAAGCAGTGTCCACTGCTTCTCTGCGGCGAGGAAGATGGTTGTAATAGCCGCAAGAAGCATGCTCCAATCCGGCAGTTGGTTATAGAACGTCTTTGGAGCACTGTGAGGCACCGTTTCCTCCATGTCAGGCTTCACCGTCTTGAGGTTAACCTTCGTACCATTAACCTTGGGAAGGGTTTGAGCCTGTGCCTTTACTTGCATGGCTGCAGGAGGTGGGTTAGGCTTTGCGACAATGCCACAGACACTCAAATTCTCCGGCAATTCGCCGGTAACAGCAGCATTCTTGGAGCTTCTAGCTGATGCTGCAGGAGATGAGCCTGGACCTGGGAAGAATGCTGAGGCGGCAAGAGACCCTGCCATGATTGAACTTCCCCTCACGGCCCAAAATTCGTTTAGAAATCAATCACACGCCAAAAGCGCTAACCTGAATAAACAATCAATTGTATCAGACACTTTACAACAATGTAGCTCTTTGGAAAACTTAAAAGAGGAGAAAAAAAATTGAGGCATGAACTAGTGGATCCACCCACTAAAAAGTTTGCCTCCTCATGGGGGAAAAAAGGCCTCATGTATCATAAACAAGTACACCCGCGAATTTCACAAACGATTCGAAACCACATTTGAATCAATGCAGGCAAAAATGAACCATATGCCCCCCGATGAACAAAATGGCATTGAGAATTGGGAGGACCCAATATCGGAACTCGCAGGGGCGGATCCAACTTGGGACATGGGGGAGGTTAAACTGTTACTACTTGTATTAAGGCTCTGAAATTAAGGAGGAGAAGAGCTTCCTCCAGATCTAGAAGAGAAGAAGCTAGGGTTAACGAACGAACGCACGAACGAACGCGAGCAAATTCCAGGCAAAAGTAGTCCCCCGAAGCTAGAATGGGAGAGAGATGAATCAGGAAGAGGAGGCTCACCAGGATCCCCTCCCCTGCTCTGCTCTCCTTGGCGATGGAGATCGGCGCCCCTCCCCTCCGGTGTTGAGCCGCGGCTCGTCTTTCTTGGCGCAAGGAAGGAGACGACGGGAGATTTTCTCTTTTCTTTCATTTACGCCAAAAAAAAGGAAGGGGAAGATACTCTCCGCCTTTTATCTCTAACATTTTTTTTCTTTATTATTGGCTGGTGGCCCACGTATCAGCAATACTAAGAGAAAAAAATAAATATTTCGATTAGAGATTGTGTCAGACTACCAGAAACCACTTTTATTTTAGCCAAAAAAAAAGAGAAGGAGAAGATACCCCCACCTTTTATCTCAACATTTTTTTTCTTTACGATTGATTGGTGGCCCACGCATCAGCAATACTAATAAGAGGAAATAAATTATTATTATTATCAAACTTGATTAGGGATTGTGTCAGACCACCAGCAACCACTAACTTTAGTGTTGTTACACGCACGGCCGCCACCGACGCTTTTTTTTTTCGAGTCAAAAAGGGAAGGAAGGGGAAGATACTCCACCTTTTATCTCAACATTTTTCTTTATGATTGGCTGGTGGCCCACGGATCAGCAATACTAAGTGAAAAAAAATAAATATTTCGATTAGGGATTGTGTGAGACCATCAGCAACCACTAACTTTAGTGTCGCTCCACGCACCACTGCCACCGACGCTCTTTCTTTTTGAGCCACCATCGTTCCTTCTCTCCGCCTTTGTATGCGCAGCCGCGCCCTTTGGTTATCGACGTGTCTTTTCTCCTACACCATTGTCATGCATATTATTGTCATGGTTGCCATTGAGGTTGAGGCTGTCGAGCTTGCAGCGTGGTTTTTTTCAAAAAAAAATGCATGACCATCCAGACCTAGTAGAGCTAGCAGGTCTAACCTCTCAAGTTGATTCCTTTTCCATGTTTCGTGTATGCAATGCCTCCACACACTGGTAGGGGTGCATGTGTCCAAATATTTGATGTGAGGTTTTGGCTAAAATTTTTTGGGATCTAAACAAGACCTACATGTACACGATCAATGACTAGAACCCAAGTCACAGGCTTTACTAGTTTATTATTTGTCTGCTCTCTTCGTTTCAAATTACTTACTCCCTCCATTTCAGGTTATAAAACATTTTGACTTTGATCAAACTTAAACTACTTTAAATTTAACTAAGTTTATATATAAATATAATAATATTTATAATACCAAATTAGTTTCATTAAATCAATAATTGAACATATTTTCATAATAAATTTGTCTTGGGTTGAAAATGTTATTATTTTTTCTACAAACTTAGTCAAACTTAAAGCAGTTTGACTTTGACCAAAGTCAAAACGTCTTATAACCTGAAACGGAGGGAGTAGTAGAAAAGATAGACATACACATAGTTAACTTAGGACAGATAAAAAAAGGTAGATATATTTAACTTAGGACAAATATAGAATGAGAACGAGAGAGTAACAGGTATTACAATTTAGGTGCTTAACACAGTTCTAACTCAAGTTTATTTTGGAGTTGGGTTTTTTCTAGCTTGGGAAATTGTTGAAATTTCTTTGGTTAAAGCTGTTACTACTCCATTAATTAATTTGGCCCACTCACTAAGGCACACAGGTATTTTAATATTCAACTCTCTGAATATTTTATCAATAAATAGTTTATTATAAATTAAATTCTATTTGATGAAAATAATATCATTGGATTATCATTTAAATTTACTTTCATATGACTATGGTTTTGTTACTAGAAACATTATAATATATGACAAATTTAAAGTCCAAAAGTAGCTTTTGGCTGTGTTCGGAGGAGGGGTTGGGAGCCCCTCCTCCCCAGCACGCAAAATGAAGTTCGTTTTATTGCATGATTAATTAAGTATTAACTGATTTTTTTAAAAAATGGATTAATATGATTTTTTTAAACAACTTTCATATAGAAGTTTTTGCATAAATCACACCGTTTAGCAGTTTGAAAAATGTGTGCGCGGAAAACGAGATAGATGGGTTAGGAAAATGGGGGAAAGAACACAGCCTTTGAAGACTATGCCAAGTTTGATCGTACCTTAATAAGTGAGATGAATGGAGTACTATGCTAAGAATATTAGGGTATGATATTTTCTAATATTTTTATCAAAATAAAAAGATTATGCCACTTTGATTTAATCTACAAAGTCTGTTTTTTCTCTAAAGAATTTAAGCATTGGAGCCATGTCAAACAGGGCTGATTTGCCTTTTATGCTGCACATATGGGATGACAAATCTTGGAAACTAGATGATACCCCGCGCGTTGCTGCGGAATGTTGGTGTATAACATAGTTGCAAAACTATAATATGTAAATCAAATATTGTAAATCCCACTAAGAAATTAGTCATTAACAGTCAAAACAGGATACATGGAGGTTAGAAAGATTATGCAATAATCTTACCCATTAGCAATCACGGGCTAGCCAAAGTACAAATTGCAGTTAGCAGATTGTATTATCAATGTTCTCATAAATTAATTGTTCGAAGAATTAAATTTATTAAAAAAAAGTGAAGTTTTGTGAGAACATCTCAATCAACATGTTTAACTCGTACATCAGACTTCCTCGGCCAACATTTAAATCATCACGTTAATTCATACTGCTAACTTCACTGGCTCAAAGGATGATAAATATATTTATGTAGAGATTAAGCTTATATGGTCTATTATATAACTATGAAATACTACTACATGACTAACACATCTAGGAATAGAATAAGAAAATCACCTTATGAAATCATGAAGTTGATTTATAGTAGCTGACATATATAAGGTCTGAAAAGGGGTAAAATCACATATTATTCATTGCGCTATGCTGCAAACTGGATCGAATTCTCACCTGTGGAATTTTTTTCTGCATGATAGAAAATTATTTGATAAGCAGAAAAGGAGTGCAGCCTTGAAATTTTCCGTATCACTCTCATGGAGAGGAAAACTAAGTTATCGTCAGCAATCGTTTCTTGGAAACGTAAAATTCTCTTCAGGAATCAGAACAGAATTGAATACAAAGGTAGAAATGTCTAATCAAAATTTACCTCGTCAATTAGGGTCAGATCGATCATGTAAGTGACATTACAAAAGATAAAACATAGCGATATTATCAAGTTATATGTCCAAAAATGGGGCAATCAGAAGAACACATGCATGCTATTTTACAAAAAGGCAGAAAAAAATGAGTACAATCATCAACTCACCTAATAGCTATGTTCCAATTTGGGGATCGAGAAAATAAACTCAGCATTGGAGAACGGAAGAAAACATGCACCTGATCAAAAACTTGAAAACTGATGGGATTAAGAACGGTAAACACAAAGAAGACACCATGCAATCGGCTAATGTTGAAGCTACCATCAAATCATGTAGCCGAAGGACAAATTAACCATGAACCCTGTAATATGCCCAATATAGTTTCCAGCCAATGGGGCAGACTGAAGAATACCTAAAGCTTCGCTATTTGATGTAAGGGGAGAAAAAAAAAGAGAGTACAGTATAGACATCAGCTTAACCAAAAGCTGATAAATTTGGGATCGAGCCAATGAACTCAACGTAGGAGAATAAGGGGAGAGAAAATGTACCTCATCCAAATACTGATGGGAGTAGGAAAGATAAACACCAGGAAGACACCAATCGCCTGATGTCAGGAGCTGCAAATGAAATCATGTTGACGGAGGACAAATTAGTTGTTTACCCTGCATATATGCCCTATATAGATCTCATTCCCAGCCAAGATCGACCAATGTTTTCTGAATCGAAAGATCAAATCAATGCCCGGATAATCCATATGAGCCACCAGATGAATTGGACGGGAAATTGATGAAAGCCCTGATAATCCGCATGAGTACTGGATAATGATAAGATATCGTGGTGAGCGCCGCGCCGGGATTGAAAGCCTGCATACTTGATACTCGCAGAGCATCGGGAGAAAGCATCGATATTTAGCATGAAGAGGAGGAATGGAATCAGGAGAAAGCTAAATATTTATCATCGATATTTAGCAAACGGAGCAGCGCCAGGGGAGGGGGGAGGGGAAGGGGGAGGAGAAGCGCCGGAGGGGGGGTGTGGAGGAGAAGCGCCGGGAGGGAGAGGGTTGGAGGAGAAGCGGCGCGAGGATGCGAGAGCTGCCGGCGGTGGGCCCGCACCTGGCGCGCGCGATTGGGGAAGGAAGCGAGCGGTCGGCGTCGGGCCCGCACATGGAGCGCGCGATGTGGAGGAAGCGAGCGCAGGATGGGGAAGGGAGGAGTCGCGCGCGGCGGCGGGGCGGAGAAATCTGCGCTCGGTGGAGAAGAAGGCAGAGCGGTTAGGGTAGGATAGAACGCATCCGACCGTTTGCAGCGCCTGATCGAACGGCTGGGATTAAAAGAGTGACGTGGCTTCACCAGAACTCAGCAAAATCCTAATAACTGCATTAAGTGGGGATCACTTGTATAGTATTATATTATAGGATGTCATGCTTTTGTTTAGCTTTGCAATAACAGCATACGGAGTATCTTGGATGAGGAGCACGCTGAATCCATTGGTTCAATTGACTCCAGGTCTTGAATCTAGCAAAACCACAAAAGATGTTCCGAGACTTCCATCAAGCTCGATTGGTCGGCCTTCTTGAAACAAGGCATACAGTTGTCATGAAGATTAAGAAGAAAAAAAATCTCTTCTGAGGTGAAAATACTCTCTGAAAGAGCATAATATTGTAATCAGTGGCACATCTCTCTTTTTTTTTTCTCAGGCAGAAAAGCTTTTCATTATATGAATATGCAGCAGCTTACAAAAATAATGCATCGATCAAGCACATGTAATGTATATATGTACAGTACCTATAGAATGACTAACTTTGGCCGGCCTTCTATATTTCTTGTGTGTAAAAAAGGCTATGCATATATAAAAAGAAAACCATAAGAGATAGATATAGAAAAGAATGAAGAACTGCAACTATATATATACTTTGTAGGTAGTCTATATTACTCCAGAGATTCTCAAGGATGAAAGTACAACAAAAACAACCCAAAGGATCATGAAGTACACTGATGTTGCCCAAGCCCACATCCTAGGGCCACCAAGCTCGGCGCCAAGTATGACGCGACGAAGAACCAAAACCGTGATGCAACCGAACGACGTCGCGAAGAAGACCAGAAGGGAGAAGCTGAGGCCAGCAGCATTGTCTATGTACAGGGGCTTCTTGTAGACAAAACTAGCATGGTGGCCCGCGCACATTGCGCGGCTAGCATCATTATATTTTCTCTCATATAAAAGCATATATCTTTTCTCATTATATTATTATAAAATATATTACAATGACAACATAATTTTAAATTTTGCAATAACTTTTCAAAACTACTAACGTGTAATAACTACTCTAGTCTCCTCTTCTAATATTTCTTATTTTTTAATTCTGAATTTCAGCTATTTCTAAATTGTATTTCTATATGTACTCTGCCTTTTCTTTTTCTCTGATTAATGTGAGAATTTCTAGGCCATGAGAGCGAACGTGGAGGCTCCTTTTTATTCCGAATTTTAGTTGGTTTTAAATTCCAATATGAACTCTATACTCTACTTCTAATATTCCTTATTTTTTAATTTCAAATTTCTATTTTTTACTTAATTGTATTTCTATATGGACTCTATACTCTACTTCTAATATTTCTTATTTTTAATTCCGAATTTCAGTTATTTCCTAATTGTATTTCTATATGGACTCTATACTCTACTTTTAATATTCCTTATTTTTAATTCCGAATTTCAGTTATTTCCTAATTGTATTTCTATATGGACTCTAGTCTCCTCTTCTAATATTCCTTATTTTTTAATTCCGAATTTCAGCTATTTCTAAATTGTATTTCTATATGGACTATAGTCTCCTCTTCTAATATTCCTTATTTTTTAATTCCGAATTTTAGCTATTTCTAAATTGTATTTCTATATGGACTCTGCTTTTTCTTTTTCTCTGATTAATGTCATCAGAGCAAACGTGGAGGCTTCTTTTTTTTTCCAAATTTTAGTTAGTTTTAAATTCCTATATGGACTCTATACTCTACTTCTAATATTTCTTATTTTTTAATTTCGAATTTCTATTTTTTTTCTTAATTATATTTCTATATGGACTCTATAATCTACTTCTAATATTCCTTATTTTTAATTCAGAATTTCTATTATTTCCTAATTGTATTTCTATATGGACTCTATACTCTACTTCTAATATTCCTTATTTTTTAATTCCGAATTTCAACTATTTCTAAAGTGTATTTCTATATGGACTCTAGTCTCCTCTTTTAATATTCCTTATTTTTTTTAATTCTGAATTTTAGCTATTTCTAAATTGTATTTCTATATGGACTCTGTTTTTTCTTTTTCTCCGATTAATGTGAGAATTTCTAGACCATGAGAGCGAACGTGGAGGCTCCTTTTTCTATTTCTTTAATTATATAATAGATAGTTGTACATTGTGTCCACCAACCATGGAACACCAATGCCGACATATATGTTCACCGAATTGCTGCGGAAATAAGATATACCGTTTATCCCGCCTCGATAAGATAAATTTACAAAAGGTTGAAGGTAGGCATGAACAACTAATTGGAGAGGAGATGTGCAGAAATGTACCTGCAAGTGATGTTGGCAATTGCGGAGTCGGCGGTGATTTGACGCTCAGCCGCTATCTTGCTTGCAACTAGATCAGGCCATGATGTTCCAGCAGCCAGTGCTGTGAATGCTATAACATATGGACTTACTCCTACACAGGATAGTAGATTTTGTATCAGCAAGCAAGCAGCTACACCCTTGACAGATGATAAATTGAACTTGTACAGGAGCATGTTCCAACCTGTGACACAGCTTATCTGATCTGTAATCTTAGTAACCCCATAAGCAATACCACTTATGAAGATTAGTGAGCAAATAAAAGCGATCCAGCCATGAGCAATTTCATAAGGGGGAATGAAAGCAAATAGCATTTTCCAAGGTGCAATGATTAAATTCCATGAGATTCCGATGACACTCAAGCAGGTAGAATCCATCTTTCTTGACACTGAACTCTCCAACTGCTCACATAATAACAAAATCACTTATAACCAATGGGAATGCTGTAGCAATTTTTGTTACTTTCAGGTCAAATCAATGTACTTCAAAGACTTAAAAACGAGTGCGGGTTAGGTTTCAATTCAATGTTAAAATCTGCTAAGAAGGATTCATCAACTGAAGGCTGTACACTGTTAGGCTTGTGGTAAACACTCTTAAACAAAGATAAAAGAATATGCTTTACTATTCTATTTTGCCTTTGGTGATATATTAAAAATGGTAAACCAATAACACAAGAATACAGCACAAGAGCGGCATAAAATTTGATTTGGTGTGACGATATTCAACAGATAAAGCTCTCCTGACTGTATAAGTTATCCAAGTCGTACACCCCTGTAGTTCCACTGAATGCGTAACTAGAAATAAGTTTTGCAGTTGTCTTATAAAGTCTAGAACATCCTTCTCAATCCACCATAACTCTCATTAAAAAAATATCTTGTCATTGTTATGTCCTTGTTGGCTTGCAAAATTAAGTTTTACAAGTATCCCCTCACAAAAGTATCCTTGCCAAACTACTTTGATCTAATAACTGAGCATTAATTCTAATTTAAACAGGAAATGGCATTGGCAAGGTATAATATATAGAGTGATAGTGAATTAAATTACCGTTGCAGCATCAACAAATTGTTGCCACCAAATAGAAAACCAGTGAGTATCCTCCCATTTGTTCTTTAATGTAAGACCTGTTGGAGATTCTTCCACATCCTTTTCTGAAACATGGTGATACCCTGAAAGGCAATAAGAAACTACTTTCAGAATAATTCGAACCCCGAAGAATTGTTACACGAAGTAAAGAAAATAGTGAGTGAAAAAAAAACAGAAATTGATTACCTTCATTACTGTAAGAACGCGCTGAGAATATATCCACAATATCCTCATTCTGGCCAGGGAGTATGTCCCCAATCCCATCATAGTTATCGTCATAATCAACTGAAGCATCTTCCGTCGGAACCCAATCTTCAGGTCTGTCACCTCTTGCCCTGTTTTCAGCAAATAAAACTAGAAGCATCAGGAAAGTGCATCCTTAATTTGTACATGGCCACAGGAAATATATTAGATAAAAAGAACGATTATTTAAGGGATTAGGACCATACAAAGGGATTGACACATATGGCCAGCGCTTATCCTGCGCATATGCATGAAGCAGAAGCAGTCCATATTGCAGTACTGTCAGCAAGGCCTCCCAGAGGGTGATCACTCTAGGTGTCCACACCTGTATACAGCGAAAAGTACTAATATGACCTAATGCTGGATTTAGTGCTTATAGTTAGATAGCAGGATGAGAATGTATGGCTTACCTCCAATATAATATACAGCCAAATGTATGCCCAGAATGACCAGAACAGCTCAACTAACCAAACACCGAGATCAGATATCTTTTTCTTAGAGCCTGCCCTTGGCATAACCACACAAACAGCATGTATGGGGAACAGATCAAATGCAGCAGAACCCACAAGGGTACCTGGACCTAAACCTGCAAATCAAAAGAAACCGAATTAGATACAATTGCGGATGCTTTGGAACAAACATTTGCACGAGGTGATCAAAGTATACCTCCTGCTGTCAGCTGACCCAGATTTCGGATTGCGTCAATCGTTGCTAGTGAAATTTGAGGGAAGCTAGTACCAAATGCGAGGAGAGCAACGTCCGCTATAGTGTAGTTCCACACCTTCTCATGCTTGACAATAGTAGCATTTGTGTGTGGGTCTATTGTGACAACCTCCCGGGAGTGTCTCATGATGCTCTCCATCGATTTGAAGAACCGGCCACTGATCGCGGATAGACCAATAAAACAGTACGCGAGGACAACGGTATAAATAAACGCACGGACACCATTTGGAAGCAGTGTTTCTCCATTGAACAACAGGTAAGTATCACAGGAAGGAGCAGTATCTGCCATGTTAATGTTGGCCATCAGATCAGAGGAGTGCTAGTAGCCTAGTATAAGACGAGAACTGCAGTACTCCCAGCTCCTGTTATAACACAAATGCCAGTTTCCATCAGAAATACTAACATCAACAAAATGTTAGCATATGAACAGGAAAAAATAATGGCTACTACAGTACAGTAACAACCTACCTAGTTCAGCAACTAATAAAGTGTCAAGCTTAAAAGAACTTTTTTGGCTTTTTGAGAAAAGGTGCGATTGCAGCATTTAGGCTATTTGAGTTAGAAGAAGGCATGTGGTGATGATTTTTTTGCAA